CCGCCTGCCCCTGCCGGCACATTCATTGTGGCTAAAATGTTCTGCAGGTCGCTCAGCTGGATAGGCTGGGTTGGGCTTGGTGCTGTACTTGTTCCATTTCCTGAACTGGGCGCGGGGCTTGGGCTGGTCGCAGAGGTGGCCGCTGGCGCGGCAGGGGCTGGGGTGGCGCGGGCAGAAGAGGTGGTGGAGGAGGGTGTCGCCGCAGCCGACTGGCTCCGGGAGCTGGCCAGAGGAGGGGGCACACGTTGGTGGCCAGCCTGGCTGGGGCAGAGCCTGGCCCCCACAGCCTGCTGGGGAGGGGATGGGCTCACCTAGATGAGGAGCTGCTGGCTGGAGGCCCTCCACTGCCCAGTAAGCTGGCCAGGCCTGGCCCAGTCAGGGCCCCAAGTCCACCTATGGGAGATAAGGAGATGTCAGTACCCCCTAAGGAAGTGGGGGCACACCTGCACATGTCCAATATCAAACAAGGCAAGGGGTGTCAGCCCCCGTGACCTCAGGGGAAGGAGGCACTGTGTGGGTCTGCAGGGAGCAGACAGCAGCAGCCCAGAGCTCTGTGTTGTAGAAGGTTCTGGTCAGATCTTCCCGCCCCCATTAGCCCCACACTCAAGCAAAGTCTGAAGATAACTTCCAAGCAACATCCCACCCCATAAAGCAGCCCTCCCAATGCAGGGGCCATCCTCATTTGGCCAGGGAACAAGGTAGCACATGTGGGCGGGGTCTCCTCAGGCCTAGGCCCACCCACAGCTGCAGCCTGAGGGGAACACAAGCACTTACCCAGTCCTCCAAGGCCAGCTGGTCCAATGAGCTGCATGAGCTGGCTGTGGCTCATGTTCCCCAGCAGACTCTGCAGGCCACCCTCCCCTGGGGGCCGGGGAAGAGGCCTTCAGTGATTCCCCCACCCCACCCCCAGAGAGGGAGGGCAGAGCAGTGGTCAGCACCACCACCACCCCAGGCCAACCTCCCACTAGGAAGCTGAGCAGGAACTGAAGAGGCGCTCAAGCTCAGCTCCCCCGTCCCCCAGCAGCTAGCCACCCCCAGGAGCATCCTTTACCGCCGAGCGCAGACAGCTCGTGGCCGCCACTGCCGCTGGCCCCCAGCGCGCCGGGCAAGGGGGGATTGTTGAGGCACTCGTTGACCTTGCGGCAGTGCTCCTCGTCCTGCTCTGTCTTCGGCTCCTGGGGACAGCGGCAGCTGAGCAGGAGCACCGGCTTCCAACCGGGGCCCCCAGCCCCTACTTTCCTGCAGTGCAGGGCACAGGCCCAGCCTGCCTCCAGCCCCACCCGATGTTAGAACAGGCGGGACACCACTAGGTAGAATCTGCTCCAAACCACACACTTGTGCCTCCAGGGACACTTTGTCAGCCAACAAGTAAAGAACTGGAGAAGGGAGAGTGTGGGTAAGCCTACGGCACAGCTCTGCAGAGGCACGCTCTCAGCTGCCAGGGCAAACTCAGGAACGCTGGGGTCAGGGGACACAGGTGGGACTCTGCTCTACTGCTGGGGACTGTGGGGAGTGATCTGTGCCAGAACCACAAACAGGTGTTGCCCGGAGAACTAGCCCGTGCACTCACAGGCACCAAGGTCAAACTGACAGGTGCCCCGCAAACGCCTGTGCACGGGCCGTCCTTGGCAACCCTCCTCCCAACTGCCCAGCGGCCGGGGAGGCCCTACACACACCTGCATCCAGAAGAAGAGGCGCTTGGACCCAGCCTTGAACTTGAGCACGTAGACCCTCCCACTGGGGCACTGCGGCACCCGCTTGAATTCACAGTCGTCAGGGAAGATGATCAAGTCCTGTGGGGGACGTGGGAGGCACAAGGGTGTTCTCATGGGAGACGCGGCAGTGAGCCGTGGGGCCCCAAACCAATGGGGTGACCAGAGAAACGGACAACCAGCCCAGGAGCTGATGGCGCCTGAAGGGCATTTGACAGCGGTTCCCCAGACCAGCGCGGCAAGGTTGGCGGCTGCCACCACCCCTCAGACGGTGTCCTGCTGTGATTTTAGTTCAAGGACCGTCACTGAGGGGCACTTGGTTTTGCAGCTTGTTGAAGGTCGCTGCTGGCCCCGTCACAGGCTTTACTAAAGAACAACTCATCCCGAAGAACAAAGAAGAGTTCCCCGAGACGCTTGGCACCAAGCTCGCTCTCGGGATGGGAGTGGGTGGGGTGGGGGTGCAGTCCCGGCACTGGAGTCAGAGCCCGCACAGGCGCGGGGGGGCCCCCCAAGTGCAGGCACAGCCCAGCCCTCGAGCCCCCAGACAGACCGGCCAGCACTCACGTCCTCCACGCTGCCCGACGTCCGGTCCTTCCAGCAGAAGTGAATGAGGGAGTCGTCCGTCTGCTGGATGTACACCAGCCCCTTGCGCTTGTCCGGAGTCACCGTGGTGCCTTTCAGCGACATCTTCCCGGCCCGGAACTCCACCAGGTACTTGGTGGAGGCGCCGCGGGAGCCCGGCACCAGGCTCGGGAAGAGCGCGCCCGAGGTCGTCATCCTGCAGCGGGGGCGCACTGAGACCCTCCGCACGCGCCGGGCCCGGCCCGCCCTGCCCGTCCCCCGGCCGGCCCGCGGAGGGGCTCCTCCCAGGCGGGGTTCGGGGCCCCCCACCTCGGCGCGAGGGACCGGCGAGAACGCGCCGGGAGGGCGACGAGGCCCCAGGACTCGCGCCCGGAAGCCCTGTGTCGGAGCCCGTCACCCTCAGGGCTCCCCTGGCCCAAGGCCTCCGGCCCGGCGCCCCGGCACCAGCACCCCCAA